ATTTGTTATGTGTGCAGGGCCCTATGCTAGGCTCTGGTGATATGAATAAGATGCAGCCAGTGTCCTCAACGGACAGGGAGCAGGTGGCATGCTCAGACTGGCCCTGGCACCATCTCAAGCAAGGGGTGCATGGGAGCCGAGGGATATGCACAAAGTGGCAGATGGTATATACCTATAGTCCCAGCTCTCCAGAAAGCTAAGGGAGGAGGATCACTAGAGCCCAGAAGTTTGAGACCAGCCTGGGCAACACAGACACACACTGGCTAAACAAACAGCAGCAGCAACAAAAATGGAGAACTAGGCCATGAGGTGATGCTAATGGGAAAATTCACCTGAGAATGTGGATTGCCAGAAAAGAGCAAGGCATCTTGGCCAGGTACAGGACAGAGAAGCAATCTCTCACGTTGGTGAATCCACATCTTAGGTATAAATCAGAAAGCTGCAAGGGGTGGGGGGGATCCAAGACCTGCATGAACACTGCTGAATGTATTATGGGATACAAATAAGTCTTGGTCTCTGGGAAATCTGTTGACTGGCTACTTTCAAAATCTTAAATTCTCAACCACAAAGACCCACAGTCTTAGCAAAGCCACAGAGAATCATTTCCCAGATAAACTCATGCCTGCTTTGTGCCTGAATAATCAGCCCAAATCCCTTTTCTTCCTACGGAAGAATCCCAATCATTACCTGCTTTACAAGCCCCAACTCAACCACCAGACCCCAGAAAAGTCTTTCCCAACCCTCTCATTGAGTGACTCCAAAGTCACTGTGGGATCCCCTTTGAGGCACTGAGCTAAGTTCTACACTGAGCTAAGTAAACCTGGCTTTATGTAGCTGCGGGCATGTCCTTGAGGAGCTTGAAGGAGTTGAAGTTCATGTCCACCTAGAAAAGCCAGGATTTGAACTGAATATTAAATAAGCACATTGCCCCCTGAGGTTTCCCCTTCCAACTTTTGGGTACATTGTTTCACACATAGGAACACCTTCCCAAATCCCTGACAGTTCACATTGAGCTCAAAGCCCCCGAAATTGTCTTGGTAACTGGAAACCTAGTTTCTGAGGGGACTTCCAGTGGCAAAGGCTGTTGCTATTGGGGTGTTTGGGAAGGGGAGAGAAAGTGAGGCAGGAATCCCCTTTCTCCTGGTTCCGGTCCACCTCAAAACATACTTCAGCAATGCAAAGGACAGGGAGGTCTGGCACTTGTGACTGTGCTGATCAGAAATGTGTTAGGAACTGTTAGTGCAGTTGTGCAGAGAATTGCTGCACCTCAAGATGATCCATGAGCGCCACCTAGTGGGATGTTCTACACTGCTGCCCAAACCACTGATTTTTTTTTTCTTCTTCTTCTTCCCATTTTTGGTTCTGGGGATGATAATCCAGAGCGTCTGCATGTTAGGCAAGCACTCTAGCACCATTGAGCCAGATTCCGAGTTCCCCGGCCCCCACCACCTCCAGCTTGCAGCATGAGAATTGTGTGGCTCTGTGCACCAAGGAGGCTGGCGGGTGGCATCTGTCAGAAACAGCAGGTAGAACTAAATTGTCCCGGAAAACTGCTTTGCATAACATGCCCACTGGTGCACACCTGTAATTCCAGCAACTCTGGAGGCTGAGGTAGGAGAATCATAAGTTCAAAGCCAGCCAGCCTCAGGAAAGTATGAAGGCCCTAAGGAACTTAAAAAGACCCTCCCTGTCTCAAAATTAAAAATAATAGTCTCACACAAATCTATGGTCTCTGAATTGTTTAAAAAAAAAAAAAGTGTTCCTTTAACTTTGGCCCCCAGGAACATGAGAGTAAAAAATGGGGTCCTCTTTAACAGAACCTTAGAATAATCTGTATTAATCTTACCCATTTTTTTAACCTAAGGCCCCCCCAAGTCATTCCTTATCTAGTTTTTATCTCATATGAAAGATAATTCAAAAAACACTTCAAGCACCCACCTGTACCTCACTTCATGTGTCATGAGCTACATTCATCCACACCTGGTGTAACAACTTTCAATTTCAGACAGGGGTTCACAAGCTGCATCCCTTCCACTTCCTTTTTCAAGGTATTTAATGTGTTAAATTGCACTGGTGTTTTAAAACTTGCTTTCATCTGATTTGTCATGTTTTACTGACAAAATTTTAATGTACCCTTGAACCCCCCTTCTATTGGTAAAATTTTGCACAACTTTAGGAAAACATAGGTCAACTCCTAGCAGTACAAGGGCAGGGATGGAAGGAAGTGGATCCAGCCATTTGAGAAGGAAAGGAGTGTTTCCTGCTCTATGTGAACTCAGCAACTCAGCTCTGCACTCTGCCCTTTTGGCATCCTTCCCATCAACCCAACTGACATACATTTAGTACTTATTTGGATCACAAATTAGAGGCCAGTATTAACAACTTAATGAGACCATCTCAAAAATAAAATAAATTTAAAAAAAAAGGGCAGGTGTAGCTCCATGATTGCATAGCATGTGCAAGGCCAAGTTCAATCCCCAGTACCACAGAAATTAGTTTGTAGCAACATAAAAAAACAGAATGAATGTTTCAGACTTATGTAAGGATACAACTTGAATACATCCTATTTCATTGTTTCAACGCAATTTTGGATACACGCAGATATAAAGATTCTATTTCTGTATATCACTATGGCAAACAATCGTTGGTTACATGTACTATCCCTGAAAACAATATTCCTGAACCTTGTGCATCTCTTTTTGTATTTTGAATACCAGAGTATCTTTAAAATTCTTCTCAAATTCGGTTCCAAGAGGTTTTGCTCCCAAATCTTTAAGGTCCCTTAATTTGACAATTGCTTGTACATATGGTATATAATGAAGGTCACATTATCATTGATGGATTGGAAACACCTATTCTTGTTACTTAATTAAAAGGGCAAAATGCACAAGGTTGGGGATGGGGAGATCCAAAGATGGAAAAGGGGTGGGGAGTTAGAAAGGACCTAATTTAGTAGTCAGGAAATGAAATTCCAAGACCAGCAATGGTGAAACCAGTGACTCAAATTGAGAAACTATAGGAATTGGCAGTACCCCCTTATCCTCTTCCAAGGATGGGTATAAAATAAGGACTGGTGATGTGAAGTATGTGAAGATCCCTTTTGCTGTGCTACACAGCTGGGCAACTGCCTTCTCTCCACCTTTAAGACTCCAGATTCCCAGGTCAATGAATGAGAGGAAAGGGACACACATTCTCTGGGATGGCAGGAGTGCCCTACTAATGCTGAAAGCAGAAGCCCTGCTGGACAGTTGGCCCACCACCTTCAGGAAGATAAGGAACACTGAGTATCAGCAAAGACATTATTTCCCCCCAAAGAATTCACCAAATCAGATATTATTTTTAGTTGACAAACTACTCACTGCAGCTAATACACTTTAGTTCCCCACTTAGATACCAGGGTTACCAGACATTTGAGGAATGCCTTTAATCTGAAAGAAAATTTTTTAAAAAGACAATTTAAGGTAAATTAGACTATTCGCAACTGGAAGGCATTCCAAAACACTAACATTCTTAGAGATGAAAGACAGTGATGCAACCTTACTTTGCAAATGTAAAACTGCAGGGAGAAGAAATGGCTTAGAATATAAAGCTGAGAAAACATCCCAAAGTGGAGCAATTTATAAGCAGAGAATAAAGGAAGTCAATGATATCAAGATAATTAAAATTCTCACCTCCCCCTCCCCCCTAAAGTGCACTGCAGAAGGGACATTATCCATATGCAGCATCTAATATTTCCTTTCAGTTATCAAATTATATTCACATCACTTCACACCTTAGTTATCACTAACTTCTATGGGGCTGGTTTTGTTATCCAACACAATGCTCCCCCCCCTTCTGCCAGTGGTTTTTTCCAAGGGAAACAAAATAGCTTATTTGAAAAGTGGGAATCCAGCTTGAAAGCTAATTAGCTCATTCCACATTTCATCTTCCAGCAAATGCCAGTCAAGACCAAAAACTGTTTCTTATGCCTAGGTCAGGTTTATCCCTCCCATATTGAGAGCCAACAGATATCTGAACAAATTTATTCAATATTTTTGCCTTCAAAATGGAATTTGTAGGCTTTCCTCAACTTGAATTTTGATTCATGCCAGGCAATTTGTGTAAATTACTGTACTTTTAGTCAACACCGCAGGGTAATATTAAAATCAGACCAACTGGTAAAAATAACAGCAGTGCATGACATTCCCCACTCTAAGGTACAAGGACAAAGCAGAATGCCAGAGACTAGTTACCCTGAAACTAAGCCATCAGCGAGATGGCACTTGTCAGGCAATGCAGCTAGGCCCTTTTAAGAGTTTTCTCTTAATCCCCAGTGATCTAATAAAGTTAGGTTGTTGTCTCCATCCTATATGCAAGGAAACCAAGACTCAGGGCACCTTAGAAGTGTTATGTCCCTTTAACTTTAGAAAGCTAGTACTTTCATTACCACCATGCACAGGGAGTGGCAAGCAGGAATAGAACCTGGCTGATTGGAGTCAATTTTTCATTTTTAACTGCCAACCTATATACTGGAATGCCTAAATAAGAAGTCTTTAAACCTAATATGTTATCAAGTTGCCCAATCAACAAAAGTGTTCCAAGAACAAAGAAATGCTGATATTCAATTCAGCAAAGTTCAGAGGATTTCGTGAAGCCAACAGTTGGCAAATAAGTTTGTTTTTTTTTAACCCAATTGTGTACTGAATGTCAGTACCCACATTACATGGAATATCTAAATTTATACAAAACTATTTCATAATCCAAATCTAAAACAAAATTAGGAGGCTGATGAAATAAAGTGTGTAGAAAAAGATGGCCCCTAAAACATCCTTGCTCGCTCCTATACTGAGATTCATCAAAACCTTCACTGTCGTGTATGTTAACACCCAGCATCATCTTACTAAGTTGTTTATAATGAAGACTCTGAAAAAAATAGTTGCAATATACACAAGGCTGAAATGTAAAATCTCACCTCTATTTTGTGATAGAAGCCATCAAAGTAAAACATGAGGAGGAATAAAAACATTTTATCTGTGTATTCAGAACCACACACAAGTTACCTTTACAGTTCAATTTACTATATAGAAATCATTTGGGTTTTATATTTTCAGTTAAATTTTGAACTGAGATTACAATAGTATATAAAAAGATTTTACATTAATTCAGTTGTTAGCATACCAAATTGAAATACATAGGTTCAAACTTCAGATTTATGGTAAACAGTCTTCAAATACAATACAGACATTTCTTAAGTTTCATTCACATACATCATTCACATGTGATACCTGCAACTCTGAACTGTTGCTCTCCTATAGGATGGCAAAATTGACATGCCATGAAGCTCAAGCCTGTAAAGTTAAGCCAAATGACTCAAAACTTGTACCATATCTTTTAAAGGATTTGGCATTTCTGGACCACAATAACCAACAATATATGAAGAAGGTAGAGTGTTATTTATTCTCATTTCAGTTAATAAGAAAAAAAGATTGCATGGTAAATTGGAATTTTGCATAAAACCCCATTATACCTTGGTAAAGTCCAAGGGCAATTAGAGGACAATGGACTGGGGTCCTAAATTTTTTAGTAGAACCCATGAAATTCAAAAATGGGCATTAATTAAATCAAAAACATTAAGCACCTACCGGTTTGAGATTGAAATTAGAGATTCATGATCGATTTCTTTCCACCTTGAAATCAAGGTGTAAAAACCAGCTATTAAGTGCATTCCAAACTTCTCCTATGTAGCACAGGTAGAATTTTCTGTCCATTGGCACCAAAGTGAAGTTACATTTCCTCTTGGGGGACAGAAATTCCACATCTGAACATAGAGTAAGTTAGGAAAAAATGACCCCTGTTGTTTGTTTTATTACTATTGTGATTCTGAGATCTAGGATTACTAATACACTAGCAGTGAACAAAGCAAATTCCTGACAACTGTCAGGTTAGTGCTGCTAAGTCCCTTCCCCAACCACCATAAAATTTTAGTATGAAAGATTTTAAAGGAATTACTAAGCTGAACAAATAGAAAAACAACAAGAAACTAAGGGAATAGTTCAAACCAATAACAAAAAGAGAATCCTAAAATTTGAAATCACTGCAATTAAAAAATTGAAGAAAAAAGAAAAAATTAAGTGTGCTTCACCCCAGACCCCCTCCCCATTCTGAATTTAAATATTCTGTGCAAAAGAGCATCAGATTTCTGGTTATAGATGTAGCCCTTCTTTAAGTTTTAGTGCTCTGCAGTTTTCTGCAATTTTATCTCCCTCCCCCCCAACCAAGTTTATTCAAAGTATTTAATAGAATCTTCCATGTCAGCCGAAAGATTTGTGATTCAAAGATTTACTAAGGTACTCTATGCATTCTACCTATACAGAAACACCTACTAATTGTTACAATTGGTTTATGCAGGATTAACGGTTTTTGGTGTTAAAATGGTTAAACATCATGCTTAATGCACATCAACTCTCCATTAATGAATCTGAACTTCACAATGATTTACCACACTTTAAATTACTAATTAAATAACTGAAAAAAACCAAAATGGACTAAGCCAAACTAAACTTAAATGGGCTATAAAGAAAAATAACCCTCAAAACAGACCATATACACATCTATTTCAAAACTACCTTTCCTATCTAGCCCCTTTCCCAAAGTTTTAGCCTGAAAAAACAGTAAAATCTACACAAAATTTTATTGCAATCATACAAGGGTTACATTAGGTCAAATACAACAAATACTATGATGCAATTTTACATTTATTAAACTACAGTTCAAAGCACAAATTTACACATTCTAAATACACTAAACGTATCTAATGAAGTCACGTTTGCCTTCCACTGACATCTGATATATCTGGGTGAAAGACATTAACTTTACAAGACTTTTTAACACGAATCCTTAGTATAAAAACTGTGTACTTGTATGTAAACGGTTTAATGGGGAACCCAATTAGTGGGCTTCCATCTCCACTAAGTCATCCATTTTGTTGCATATTTTATTTTAAACACTTAAGGGGCTGTTCAAACTGGTAAGTTTAAATCTGGATACATTATCTAAATCTCCCATTACCCCCAAAATGAATTATAAATGAAAGCTGATTTCGTCTGGTCCCAAATAGCTATTACTATTAATTTTTGTTTCCAAGAGAATTAACAGAATAAGATTGTTTAATTTTTTTTCACCGGAATGTAGACCAGACAAGCTTAACCTGCTAACTTCAGATCTAAAGAAGCGTGAATGCCTGTTTAAGCTTCAGTGGAAAAGCTGTCTTCTTGGCTCAGCTGAATGCAAGAAGGCACAAAGAAGAAGTTCTTCATCATTGTGTCTGAAGTAATTCCAGCATCTTGCATTTCATACCTATATATAAAAAAGAAGTAAGCAAAAGTTTGCATATTGTCTTTGCAAAGAAGAATCACTTAACAAATGGATAATAGAGCCATAACTAGTCTTCCAGTAATCTTTACGATTATCATTTTTCAATTAAATTATCCACTTGTTAAGAACATATTAGCCAATCTAAAATGTCACCTCCAAATATCCTATACCTACTTGAAAATAAAAAAATCAGCTTACCAATCACTGAATGACATCATGTAATAAATAGCTGGCCTCTGAAAATCATTAAAAGCAGATGGTTCATGGAAAGAATCTGCTCCCATGTTATCAAAGATAAGCCAATCACCCACATTCAGCTCAGGAAGTAGACAGTTTTCCACAATCTGATCAAGCTCATCACAGGATGGACCCCAAAGGCTGCTTGTAAAGAGAGGCTCATCTTCCTTGTATTTCTGTAGGAAAGGAAAAGACTTTTTTTTTTTTTAAGAATTTTTTTTTTTAACATTTATTTTTTAGTTTTTTTGGCGGACACAACATCTTTGTTTGTATGTGGTGCTGAGGATCGAACCCGGGCCGCACGCATGCCAGGCGAGCGCACTACCGCTTGAGCCACATCCCCAGCCCAGACTTTTTTTAAAATAAGGTTTTTAGTCAAACTCATGTAGGTACTGAAGTTCTAGGGTGATAATAAGCATTTTTCACTAGCTTGGATCTCAACCTAAACTGTCCATGGAAGGGAGACCTAGGACCAGGCACAAAGAAGAATGATACCATTAAACACAAACACAGCAGACTAAAGGGCTCAGTGAAAAAAAAAAAGGCGGGGCGGGGACGACTCTCTAAACAGGGACATCTCCCCACTCTAAAGTTTTTCTCAAAAAAATTGGGGCACATATTAAAAATAAGACCTAGTTGTGGTTTTCTTTTTTGGGGAGGGAGGGTTGCTGACATGACATGCTAAGCAATGGCTCTGACACTGAGCAACACCCACTCCCTACAACTAGGTTTTTAAACTACCAAATAAATTTTGGTATTATTTGTAATAGAACTTACCTTGTGAACCTCTGGAATGGTATTTAAGTCCTCAGATAGTTTACTTGCAAAAGAACCATAAACACCATCATTCATATAATACATAAAAGCTGGTTCATCACTCCCGGTTTTTCCTACTAAGAAAAAAGATACATTCATAATAATATGTCTAATATAGTTGGTTTAGAATGTATTATAAAATAAACTGAGTTTAATATCTATAAGACCAGTATAATTTTCACATTTCTCAATATAGTAACTTTAAAAAAGAGAAAAAAACTTATACAATGAAATACCTTAAAATTTAGCCTGAAAGACTGAACATACACTTCACCAAAGATGACCAATGAGCACATGAAAAAAGTTCTACATCATGAGCTACCGTCACCTCCACAAACCTACTTTCTGGATCAACTCAAAGACTGGCAATACCAAAACATCAGTAAAGATGGGGAGCAACCAGACTCATGTATATACACTGACAGTAGCAGGATGAAAAGGTAAAACTACATTGAAAAAGCCATCTAGATTCAGTTCATCAAATCTCTTTCATGCTATGGAGACTAAAATGTGATATTACTTTTATCATACCAAAGAAGCTAAATTAGGTATTCTACCAGGGAGCATATAGCCCTTTTTATTTTTTACTTTGAGATAGGTTCTCATTAAGTTGCTGAGGCTGGTCTCAAACTTGTGATATCATTCTGCCTCAGCTTTCCAAGCTGGGATATTATGGGTGTACGCCTCTTGTGCTGGGGATCCTAGAACATCTTCATGAACCAGAAACTACAAAAGTCTTCAGTGAATAATGGGGCATGTCAAAGAACTCAAATCTGACTGTACAATAATGAAAGTTAATAGATTATATAACCCATTGAGTACAATTCTCAATAAATATGTATCAATGTGGGGAAAGCAAAAACTATCCTTTAAAGGCCAACCTCAGTAACAAAGTTAGAATGATTTAATAAATGCTAAAACCAATGGGGTAAAAGTATGATGAAAAAGGGGAAATAAATGCAATATGTGATCTTGGATTGCATTTTAATTATGGAAGAGAGGAAAAGTTTACTGTAAAGGACAGTATTGGGTAAACTGTTCATATTCCTATGCACTAATCCATTCCAAAAGCAATTAAGTCACATTAATGTAAAAGCCTTACTTTCCTATAGTGATACTGATACAATGAACTAACTATCTAATAATACATTTTTACTGATTTGACTTGAAGAATAGATATAAAGATTCTCTGTTGGTCCTTGTGTAAGAAAAATATAGGTTAGATTCTCCCTCTAATCCATTTGAGGCCAAGAGGAATGTTAACAGAGATCACATGAAACTGGCTTTCGATAAGGGATGAGAACCAATCATCTGGAAGTTCATCTCAAGCATATATATATATATATATATATATATATATAAACATCAATACCAAGAGAGCTGTGTTAAAGTCTTATGAAACTACCTTTTGAAAAATTCCCTAGCTGGCTAAAAACTACCCATAATTTTGAGCACCTATTCACCCCCAAACTATCTGGAATTATCTACTAACAAAAATAAAACTATGAACTTTAATAACTTACCTCCAGAGGAAAATTTATCATTTTCGACAACTTTCTTTGCAATGATATTAACTGCAAGTGTAAATGCAGAAGACACATAGTAGCTTCCAGGTTCTGAAATTATCTTAATGCCAGAGCCTTCAGGAAAGTAGATATCCAACAGAGGGCTGATAACATGATTAACCTATGGATTTTAAATTCCAGATTATGGTATCAATGCTGGATTACAGAATTCTCAATATTAAGAGCTTCACATCTATTACTAAGTTTTCCTAGGAAAATTAAAAAGCTCTAATTACAGACCACAAAGCTTAGCTATTTAGTTAGGTACCTCTCCAAAAATGCACAAGTTTGCTTTCAAGTAAAAAAAATAAAAAAAATTAAAATGTTGGTTGGGGAAGTACCAGGGATTGAACTCAATCAAGAGCACTCAACTACTGAGCTATAGCCCCAGCCCTATTTTGTATTTTATTTAGAGACAGGGTCTCACTGAGTTGCTTAGCACCTCACCATTGCTAAGGCTAGCTTTGAACTCATAATCCTCCTGACTCAGCCTCCCGAGGGGCTGGGATTACACATGTATGCTACCACACTCAGCTTTTCAAGTTAAAATTTTCTAACAATCAGAATGGCATTAATTTTAAAAAGCCTTAATTCATTTCAAACAAATTTCTAAATATTATAGAATGAGGGAAAGAGGGCTGAACAAGAAGGCGAAAGACATCAGTTATTGAAATTAAATTAATCTGGACTTCGAGAATAGAAACTGAAGGGCCTGGTATGGTAGCACACACCTGTAATCCCAGCAGTTTGGGAGGCTGAGGCAGGAAGATCACAGTTCAAAGCCAGATTTGGCAACTTGGAAAGACTCTAAGCAACTTAGCAGGACCCTGTCTCTAAGTGAAAATTAAAAAGGACTGGAGATGTGGTTCAGCAGTTAAGCGCCCCTGGGTTCAATCCCTGGTACCAAAAAAAAAAAAAAAAAAGAATAGAAACTGAAATAGGAAATCTTTGTGAGACTGACAGTATGGCTTGCCTAGTATTCACCAAGCCCTGGGCTGACCTGACTAGGACTACTAGGTGAGGGGATATTTTGTGATAATGTTACAGGGCTCAAAGATTTTTTTTTCCCCTTCCCCATTGCTGGGGGTTGAACTCAGGGCCTCATGTATACTAGGCAAATACTCTACCACTGAGCCAAATCACTAGCCATAGAATTCAAAAAATTTCAAGAATTTTAAACTTTAAAATTGACTAGGATTTCTCATTGCCTGTTGATTTTCTTTATGAATGTTCTGCCATTATAAAAACCTTGGTCTAGCCACTCAATAAGAAGCAAAGAAGGTAAATTATTCCAATATATCCATCAACTGAAAAATGTTTACCTCTTCCAATTGAAATTCAGTTCCTGTAAAGCCTCCACCAATGTCTAACATGTTCATTGTAAAACCAAATTCTCCCTAGAGATGAAAAACAAAACTTTTACATGCTTTTGGATATGAGAACATTTCAAACCCCTCCCCCGAAGGTAAAGATCTGTTTTCTGATCTTCAGTAATCAAATTCTTGGTTTTTATTAACAAGCAACAGATTAACTTAATGTTAAGTATATTACCATTTCCCTGATGTTACCTGCACTCTTTTAGACATGTAAAATACTATTTCATTCCTTTACCCACTTAAGGAGTATGACTGCATTGAACCCTGAATCCTTGTACTATTAAACATATGTAAAACTGAGTAATTCACACAGACAAAAAACAATACTGAGTCTTAGTCTTAAATAATATCCTGGCTTAAACTACAAAATAATCTGAAGAACAAACTTACAGCCATGTCAAATACACATCGAGCATCAGATAGAGCATGTACGTATACTTGAGATTCTTTGCAAGCACTTGAAACATGAAATCTAAAAGAAATAAGAGTAATGAATTTAAAGCAGTACTAAGTTTTCAAAGCACTTAAATTCCTTTCAATTATCATTCATCATATTGATACCATTAGTCATACATTAATTTCATCAAATATCTAATTATCCAAGTCAAAATACTAGGCTTTTTAAGAAACGGTGATATTTGAATGATATTGTAATGCTATGAAAAAAATTTTTTAATGAGTCAGATAGTCACACTTCATTGTAATAAAAGAGGACATGCTTTTATACAAATGGGATCTCAAATTTGGTCAAATGTATCTGACCAAATATAAAATCCACAGAAATGTAAACACCCCAAAAATTTATCTACTGTGCAGAATACAGCAATCTTCAATTTCTTTCTTTCTTTTTTTTTTTGAGAGAGAACTTTCTTATTTAATATTTTTTGTTTAGTTTTCGGTAGACCCAACATCTTTATTTTATTTTATTTTTTTAACGTAGTGGTGCTGAGGATCAAACCCAGCGCCCTGCGCATGCCAGGTGAGCATGCTAACAGCTTGAGCCACATCCCCAGCCCAATCTTCAATTTCATTTAAAAGGTTACCAACTTTTTTTGTGTGTACAAAATATATGGAAAGATATACAATGAACTATACATCTTTGTGAACATTTTAAAAAGCAAGATCTTTCACTGTAATTTGAGACTAGCAATGGACTGGAAACCCAGAAAATCTGGGGCTTAGTATTATTGTATCCTTCATTTGTTCTGAGATTTTGACCAAATCATTACACTTCTGGATATAGGTTTCCTTGCATTTAAAAAATTTAAAGGATAAAACAAAGTCTGAATTATTGAAATGGCCCTGAAGGATTAAAAAGAGGAAAAAAAAAATCAGATGAGAAACAAAACCTACAATAACTTAGCAATTGAATGCCATTTTAATATTCATTAAATTCTAGTAAATCCCACCCATCCAACCTAAAATGATGTGATTGATATAGGGGCTAGAGATGAGGTTCTAGAGAGAGAGAGATTATCACCAAAAAATGAAGTTTAAAACAAATACTCACTTGACCCCAATTATTTGGACATCAAGTTCCTTAGCACATTCCAAGAGATGCCTACAGTTCTTCAGTGTAGTGCCAAACTTCATGCTACCCTCTTCACCTCCAATAGTATCTTCTGTTGCAATATGTAGTAAGACCCTAAGAGAAGAGGAAGATGATTGGGGCAGAGTTGGTTTACATCATCATCAGCACATTTGAAGCCTGAAGATTGTAGGAAGTAATCGTTGACTATGTTGTCAGTGCTCCCAAATCCAGCGATGGATGAATCAAGTGAACCTAATGAAAAACAATCCTGTATAGAGAAAAAACTAGCAATTAGGGCCTAAGGCATGAAGCTTACAAGGATGGGATTTTGGAAAATGCAGCAAGTTTATGACTCTTGTAGCAGCAAGAGTCATTTGGGCTCTGTAATGAGAGACATTACTTTCAAATGAAGTCCATCAGTCCATAAATGCACCTAGAAAGACTAAATTGAATAGCAATGCCATCAATGTCTTTCAATAAAAACACTGGGACTTTTAGTGTCAAAGTTCCTAGATTTTTTTTAGCTAGGTAACCCTTCATTATACACACTAAATATTTGAGTTACTACAAGTGTCTAAATGGCAGCATTTACTATGCTTGACACAAATCTAATTCCTTTAAAACCAGGAAAACCGAGACAAACTGATTAAATGTCTCTACTATCAGGAATTAAGTAATTGATAAGCCACCAAAAGCTACGAACACATAAATGCTGCTTATAAAACCATTTACCCATGGAACTCCTAGTGAATGACAAATGATCAGAAGGCAAGACTGATATTCCAAGAGGAGAATCAGCTCTATGAAGAAGGTACCATTTGGTTTACAATCTAACACAGTAAATGACCACGTCAAAGTTTGTCTTAAGACCACAAAGCAGTTAGGTTTGTCTTTAAAGAAAAGTGATTCCCTATAATTTTTCTTCCAAAAGGACTTTATCCCAAGGTTTTCAGAGTAATAAATGCTGCCAGGATACCTTACAAAACTTATATAGCTCAATAAAAAAAATACAGGTACGATACATTTTTTTTCAGGAAAATATCACTCTTAATATAGCTATGGTCTCACACACCATTTTTCACACCATTTTTCCCTTGAATTTAAAATTAAGATTATATCCCAAAGTGCAGTTACTTTATCCCAATTCTACATCAAGAGGACCAAAGGAGGCAATCAATAAAAATGCTATTAGCATTTTTCATATAGGAACTCTAGATAAATTATAATTACCTACATACCACTGCTCTACCAAAAATTCCCCTCCTTCCCCGCAAAACAGACTCATGCCCTAAGTAATCCGATAATATTCAAGTACTTATTTTTTTTGGACTTACTTGGCATTTGGATGGTTACGTGCGATTTTCTTCAATTCAATCTCACTGTCACATGTCATGATATTTACTCCAATTTTTGCTGCATACTTTATCTGAGAAACTTGCTTGCAAGGACTTATGTAAATGATATTTTCTGGAGATACACCCAATTCCTGCAGTAAAGCCATTTCATTCTGTGAAAAGACATTTTGAACACTCATCTAAAAGGAAGAACTTTTGATTGCTTTCATTCAATCACTCTCATATACTTTTTTGCAGTGATGGGTTATAATCTAAGGCCTTGTCCATAAAATTCATAGGCTATTATTTTTTTTAAAGAGAGAGAGTTTTTTATATATATATGTTTTGGAGCTGGGGATGTGGCTCAAGCGGTAGCGCGCTCGCCTGGCATGCGATAATTTTTTAATAAACATTAAAAAATTCTCTCTCTAAAAAAAAAAAACTATATTTATTTTTTAGTTTTTGGCAGATACAACATCTTTATTTGTATGTGGTGCTGAGATCGAACCCAGCGACACGCGCATGCCATGTGAGCACGCTACCGCTTGAGCCACATCCCCAGCCTTCATAGGTTATTTTTGATTAGACTAAAATTATATTTAATGCTTCCCTATACTTCTTGTTTTAAAAAAGTAAAAATAAAACCTTTAAAAAGAAAAAAAAATCTCAGTTTAGAAGTATTTGCTAGTCAGTAGTAGTTTGGTCTAGAGAGCTAGCTCTAGGCCTAAGAATGAATAATAAATTAAAGTTCATGATTAACAGAGAAAGTTTTTCAAAAAATCATCACATTGAAACTTTTCTATTGGTAAAACTGAAGAGTTAATAGATTTCTAGTAATGGACTGTGTTTGAATAAAATTATTTAAAATCCACCCAGAAGTCAAAATTTTTTTATATTTGTTCTGCTATTGCTGTGGGTAGCTAGAAATTAAAGTGAATTCTAAATGTTGTGATTAGTTAAAAAAAAAAAAAAAACAAACAAACAAATCCAAAATACTTACTTTACTGGAACAAGCAAATCCAATTCCAAGAGCTGCCAAAATCTCAAGTACAGCTGGAGTAGAGTTGCACTTCACTGTGTAAAATGGCTTTATCTGAGCCACTACATTCTGCCATTGACTATGTTTCTTCACAATCTTTCCAAGATCCCCCACGAAAAATGCATTTTTCCCTGTCTATTATGGTTAAAACAAAGAACAAAGAACCACTGAAAACAGACTATCATAAGTAGAAAAATAATCCTCACTTTTCCTTATATTCACTATCATATTCAACTTTTTTTTTATTAACAATTAAATTAGTCCTAGTAAACATTAAAAGAAAACTTAAACACATTTATCTTCATTCTGTTTGTAGTACCTCATCCATGTGAGGCATCTAACCATTGAGCTCTAGCCCTAGTGTTGATCTTTTAAAATTTGACATTTTGCTATATGTGCTACACCGGCATATAAAATACACTCTTTTGGGGCTCTCATAAGAATCAATTTCCCAATTTTACTTTTTAGTAGAGTGAAGGAGACCTATTTCCTTCCATGCTACTGTTATTTTGGCAGTTCAGGATATAATTTTCTGACTACAGAGTAGAATTTGGAATGTTCAACAAAGTATATACCTCCATTAAAACTGCACATTAAGCTAGGCGCAGTGACACATGCCTATAATCTCAGTGAGCCCAGAGGCCAAGACAGGAAGACGGGAAGTTCAAAGCCAGCCTCAGAAAATTAGTCAGACCCTTCAAAAAATAAAAAGGACTGAAGGTACAGCTCAGTGGAAAGCACCCCTGGGTTCAACTGCCAGTATTTAATGGGCTAACTGCAAAGAGAGCTGGGATAAAAAAAAAAGACAGGTATTCAGTTTTATTTATTATCTTAGACAAAACATGAAACTGGAAGAATGAGAGTAGGCAATGGAAAACTAATGAACTTGAGGGAATGGGGAAACTGTACTTAATGAATATTCAATGAAATTAAGCAGAAAATGTGAGGTTAGGAGATCACTATTCTAAATAACATGTGCAAGGCAAACCAGGGATAATGGGAGATAATACAAAGAATATTAAGGTATTTCTAAGATTATACCTGACCCAGGAAAAAAAATGTTACAGTTAGAAGAGGATGATAAAGAGAAAAGGCATTAAAATCTGACTACAAGCTTCTTAGGAGCTGGTTGAACAGTATAAGTTCAAAGTTTGATAATGAAGGATGAGAAAGTAAGAGATTTTGCTAGGGTGAGGAAAGACTGCTCTAGCATTTCTGTAGAATCCAAGTCAAAAGAAGGATAAAAGTCTTTTGGGTATCCTATTACAGAACACTAAAGTAACATGATAATCCAACAAATTTGGAGAATATAGGAAACTAGTTCCCCCAAAAATGAGCAAATCCTAGCCAGGCATCGTGGCAGATGCCTATAATCCCAACTAACCAGGAAACTAAGACAGGAGGATTCCAAGTTGAGACCAGCCTGGGCAATTTAGTAAGGTCCTATTTCAAAAAAATAGAAGGGATAGAGTGATGAGGCTCAGTGGTAGAACATTTGTCTAGCATACCCAAGGCACTGGCTTCAATCCCTAGTACTGGGGTAGGGATGGGAATCCATTAGTAAGTTAATAAATGAAAATAATTCTACTAGTCTAAAATAAAAACAAATGATCTAAATTAGAGGTGAATACAATTCTGGAATGTATGACTTTGTACAGATTGACTCTCCTGGGAAGTAAACATTCAGTATAAATTATCATATTCATAATCAACATATGTAAAGAAAATTAAATAATGAGGTTGAGAAAAATTAGTAAGAAGCCATGTGCTGATTAGGTTTTCCAGCAATGTTTTAAGAAAATAAACAGAACATAAGAGTTAGGTGCTAAAAAATAGAGAGGTGGCAATTATGAAACATTTTAAAATAATGTAGACTAAAAAGAGATATACACTGTTCAAGGTAGGGGTGTCCGTGTTAATTTAAAACCTGGAAAAGTTAACCAAATCAAACACTTTTTATCAGATTAACTTCTTAGAAATTAACAAAGCACTGATGTTTTCAAATTAGGAAAATTATTTTGAAATTATGAAATGGTGCACTTACAAGAGTATGTTCATAAACATAGTTATCAATAACATTTCCAAGGTTTGTTCCTTCATCCAACAGGCCAACAGAGTAGTTTGCATCGTCAATAAATCCTTTCATCTCAGCCGTATTCCACAAAGCCGAAAGTCATAAACCAGGAAAAACAAGAGACGGGCCACCAAGCCTATGTCTGGGTCCTTAGAATATGCAACAAACTGTCAAAATAAAAGTTATATCAAAGTCTACATTATTTCAGTAGTTAAACATTACATGAATTATTAGTGAAAGTGTGCCAAGTGCTTAATTTAGTCAAGAATTTGTGATCACTTAGCATTCGGAAACACTGAATTACTTTAATGCCCACTCTAAAAAGTTAGTAAATGTATATAATTTATTGAGAAGGTAACCCACCCAGGTACCCAGTAACAAACAGTAGGACCAGGTAACTTCAGACATGTCTTACAATATTCTAGAGTAGATAAAAATAATAGAACTAGGCTGGGTGGAGGATAGCTTCAGGGGACAAACTGTGACTTCTTTGAATACAGACTGTTCAGGTTTTATACTCAATTAGAACACCTGGTCTGTGCTGTTTTTTTAGTACTATACAAATCTTACCTCAATTTCTCAAAATCTCCCTTAACCATCTTAGTCAAAAGGCTTTGTAAACCCTGCCCTCCAAAAAAGCATATGAAACAAAAACACCTGTTCAAGTGCTAGCTCAAAGAGATAAAAACTGAGTTGCCAACTGATTTTTTTTTTTTAAGTCCTTGGGCTAAACCCAACTTTCCCAATCAAACCTTCCCACTTTACTTGGTTCTCATTTTCTGGGGCAACACTTGCTGCTATACAAGGCTCATCTTCTCTGCTGAATTTCACTGGTCCTTAGGTGATTTTAGGAAATGATTCCTTCTAATATAGACATGATAAAACAAGTCCTTCGGATAGACAGACTACCACTCACTTTTTGTGACTAATTCTATCTTGATAAACTTTATAGTCATTCCTGAGTCCTTCATTCCTCCTGCCACCCCCATCATTTACCACCTCCCTATATCCTGTGTAGGAGTTCATGTTGGGTGATGGTCCTCATCCTGAAAATGCACTCCATTTTCAAGGGTTCCCACACATAGTAGTATCAGCTTTTTGGTTATATCAGAAGAAAACTGCTCAGTAAGCTGTAACATTAGTCAAATTTCATGAAATATAAACAATACTTAGTTTTAACTTAAAACAGCACTTTAATTCTAAGAAGCCAACTAGATTCAGTTCATCAAACCTCTTTCATGATAGGGGGAGACTAAAGTTGATGTTATTTTTATCACTCCAAAGAAGTTAATTTAGGCATATTTGCATGACAATTACTACTTATGCAGTGAAGTCAAATCATAGTCTAGACGTTCTCTAAAGGATGTTGTGCCCATCAAGTAGTCGTTTTTTAGGCTAAGAATGCATATTTATCTTAAGCAATAAGGCCAACTAAGTGTGGATACTTAGTAGTAGGTTGACAGAAAAAGAACACTAAATCAAAAAGATCCATGCACCATGGTTTGGCACCACCGTTTTACCAGCCAAAATGAACAAAATAAGCTTTTGTTTATTCCGAGAACTACATTTTTAAAAAAATTATCAAGATCTTCAGCCTAAATAAAATCTCAGTTCACTAGTCTCTTTAAATGCAGTACATGTAGCATTTATTTGAGAAATCTTAGGTTATGGATAGTCCACCGCCAAAGGCAACTGAGGCCAAATAGTTTGAATTGGGGATTGAACCCAGCACCTCATGCATCCTAGACAAGCACTCTACCAATAAGCTACATTATCAAAAATCTAGCTTTTAAAGTCAGGACAAGATAATTTTTGTAGCTTAGGGTAACTCTGCTTTAACACTCAGTATTTACAAAAATATGAGGCCTGGGGCTGGGGATGTGGCTCAAGTGGTAGCGCGCTCGCCTGGCATGCGTGCGGCCCGGGTTCGATCCTCAGCACCACATACAAAACAAAGATGTTGTATCCGCCGATAACTAAAAAATAAATATTAAAATTCTTAAAAAAAAAAAAATGAGGCCCACTGGATCCCATCTTACCTGCATAATGCCCATTCTTCAGAGTATTTCTATAGTAGTATGCTGATAACTGTAAAAATATTTTTCCAACTACAGAATCTAGAGGGTTTAATTATCATTGCCTATTAAAACTAGCTTAAATCTCAAAGCAAACATGTTCATGTCATTATAGCAGTATGGCATGCTGTTATATAAAGCTGGAAAATTGTGTTATAAACAAAATGCAGCGCCTGCCTTCCCAAAACTCATCCCTGTAAATCATAGGATCCCTTTTTGTTGGAAATAACACAATTCAGTCTCTTTAATACAACTTTACCACATCCCCATAATCAACTAACCATTTCTCATAGTTAATTTCTTCATTGTATTTCCACTGGCATTAAAAAAAAACAAAACAAAACTCCTATTGTGCCTACTCAGCTTTTACTTATCTTTATGACTATTTTCTTTCCTTTGGTGCTAGGGACTGAACCCAGAGCTTCACAGAGGCTAAGCACTGGACTATAAAACCCAAACCCCATGACTATCTTCTCAATTTTAAACCCGATTTCTGAATCTTTTGTCTAATTTTCAGATATGCAGACCCCAAATTTGAAATTTTTCTTTCCATTTTTGTATCCATGTTAACAGTTTTACATGTAATAATGTATACTCGTTTTGGCATGTAATTATAATCATCTACTACCACAAAGTACTCTCATGTCCTGTTTCCAATAAATTCCCAACCCAGAAACCTGCCACGATAAGACTTCTTTAGAAGTAAAATGATTTTAAAAATTAAAGGCCAAACCCAAACATCTGACAAATGTTATTAATAATATGAATAAAAATATACCACCAACAATAAAAAGAATTTCGGAAAGCATATGCTGGCTACAAAACAAACAAGAAAATGTTAGTGGAGTAGCTACACATCTTTGAAATGTAACTGTCACTTCAGAAGTAACCGAAGAATTATTAACCAAACAAAAAAAAGGATTGTTAGAAAAAATAAAATTCATTTTTTATATTGGTAGTACTTGACAAAAAGGATTAAAGCACTTCTGAAACCACTAAAACAGATTTAGGTGTAATGCTACTTGATTTTCTTAATTATACTGAAAATTACAATAAAATATTTGATTAAAGCCAACTTATTAGAGTAGATCTTGGGAACTAAAGAAAAAGGACTTTACAACTCTTTTATTGGAAAGTTCTATTTGTTTTATTTTTTGCTGCTGAGGATCAAACCCAGGGCCTTGTGGGTACTTGTGATCTCTACCACTGAGCTATATTCCCAGCTAAATTAGGGAGTTCTTAACTTAAGAGGTGGTGATAATGTATCCCTTATGCATTGAAAAACCTGTCTTTGACATTCTTTTTGTTGTTGCTGGAATTAAGGACAGAACCCAGGGACATTTTAACACTGAGCTACATCCCCAGTCCTTTTTATTTTGAGACAGGATCTTGGCTCAATTGCTTAGGCCATCTCTATGTTGCAGGGGCTGATGTTGAACTTGTCATTTCCTGGGTGTACATGACCACAACCAGTTGTTTTTGACATTCTTAAAAAGAAGTCTTTAACTGTGATATGCAAGTGATGTGCATGTAAATGTTAAGCTTAGCTATCAGTTACTGTTAAAAGCTAAAAGCTTGTCAGTCCCAGAAAAAACAAATTCTGCAACTTGTAAAACACAAATATCTTCAGAAAACAGGCTTTCTAAGACACTTTGAGCCAATGAATTCAAATGAAATGTCTGTTATTGGAGATCCAGTATTTCCATCAAAAAGGGCCAATCAGGGTCAAAGTAGCCTGATCATGAATGAGTCTTTCTACCTTCAATATTATACCACCATCTCACTGAAGGAATTTTTTAAAATAAGTTTAAAAACTCCAGGAGATCTTTCCTGTAATTTTCTTAATGTTAGCAAAAACACTGTATAGCTACACTGTCACAAAAAGCAAGGTTTGTGTTAACATTAAAAAAAAAAAAAAAAAAACTAAGAAACATTTCTGCTAGAATGTTTAGAGGTATTAAAGTTAGTTGCTGCCAATATTATTAAATAAATAAAAATTCTGAGATGCAGCATGTTCTAGCAAGCAAAAAAAATAAGTGTGCATATGTTGAGGTGAGCAGAGTTTATACTGTATACCAGATTCAGCAAGTTAATTCACCTCGATTTTTAACACCACAGGGATTATTCCCAGGACTTCTCCATCCTCTTAACTGAAAATACAGAATCAAACCACGATGTTAGATGAAATGTTCTAGTGGTTCTGGTTATAAATCAGAAACAAGATTAATTCTAACACATCATGCACCACTATTTATCAGTTTGGTGCTGTTGGACCTTAAATTATTTATAAAACTTTAGAAAATCTATTCTATGTAGATCCTTAGATTCTCTTCACCAGAATGCTTTAGAACTTGAACTTAGTAGCAAATTTTATAAAAGCTCTGATGCTTACTGGTATCCACAATTATGAAAAGGTGTTCTCTACATACAAGCACTTTCAAAGTTATTTTCACAAACACTATTAATATATGGTTGAGAGAAACCTCAGGTTACTTCACAATACTAAAGTTGCTATAATCACAAAAGTAATTTGTTAATAGGAAATTTCCTCCTGGACTCAGCTGGGGAAAAAAATTTTAACATCCCTCATTTACACCTTTATATTGGTGTTTTCATAATACATTTTCCATGAAGAGCTGCCAAAAGAAACAAAGGCTCCAAAGAACCACACACTGCTCCCTGGAGCCTTCCATGAGGCCTTGAGTCCTCATGTTCACAGGGAGGGTAGCTCCAAGAGTAGTGGTTGCAGCAGCTGGGCACTTGCCTTGTTACACACCTGCTACAAAGGCTTCTACAGTTGATTGTACTTCAGAAGAAACTGATACATCTTTCAAATAATCACAAGATAATTCTGGCAGCAACAGCCCACTTGACACCAAGCTGGATGAATATGAGTCTTGGATTTCTGAAGTGAAGACCTCCCTGGAAGTAGAACAGGGAGAGCTGAAAGGTTGAGAGTACTGTTTCAGAGACACCTAAGCAGGAAACCCAACCTTAACACATCAACCATTTTTCTAACAGGACTTTTACTCATTTAAAAGTGAAAAACTGCTATTTTGAAATTTACACTACTATAGTTACTCTGAAGATGCCTAAGGCAATAATAGGAAGTTCTTTATTTTTACATAAGCATTTGATGACTCAGCACTCAGCTTTAAAAAACATATGTCAAAAAGCCCCCTCCTCTGCATTCTACCTAAAACAGGAAAAAAAGTTACTTACCACACAGAATACCTTTAGAAGTGATCGATCAGAATAGCATTAAAAGAGGCTTCTAAAAAATGACTTTGGCACTATAGATGTAATAAGGCCTCAAGCAGGTCTGAACCAGGGAAAAAAAAAATTCCAGGAAGCTACATACTAAAAATGATAGGAAGTTCTAATAAATTGGGTGATGGCCATAAGATCACATAATCCATTTTTGCCATAGTGGATAAAAACAAGTGACGGAACACTCAGGATAACCAGGACAGGGCCTGCTTCAACTGACAATAACTGGAAAGCTAGTGATCACAATAAATACTCATAAAAAATTATTTTTCAGGAGATGAGTTTGGGAGGGGAGGGAAAAAAACTGAGTAAGCCTAAAGAAAGAACACTAAAAGATCTGAAGATTTTTTTTCGCCCTTAAAAGAACAAGAATGAACAAGAGATGAGAGGGAGGGTTAAGGAAATAGGCCCAACTTATTTCAAATTAGGTTCAAAATGCCTAAAAATAAATATTAAAATGTATCTTAATAAGAAAAATAAAATACAGAATTTTCACAGCAATGTTATTTTACATGTGGAATTAACACTATTAAACTCCCTTGACAATCTGAAGACTCGATTTTTTTCCCTAGAAAAAGTGTGCCTGCGCAAGAAAAATACTGAAATCTCATCTTATTTAATGTAAATAAGATTTGACATATTCATACTTTAGGCAGATCTCACTAACTGGAAGCCCTAACTACAATGGAATACTTTTTTATTTTGTTGTATATAAAACATATGTGAAATACAATTACTGCAACAAAGACCAGGTTAAGCAAGCAATTAAGAAACAAGAGTCATATCTCAAAGGTCCTTCTCACAGGTGGCAGTGTGTGTGTCTCCCCTACAGATGTTTAGACTTTTGCTAAGCACCATTCCCTTATTTAATAGTTTTCTTTCATGGAATCCTAAGCAATACTTTGCAGTATGCTATTTTACAGGATACCCTGTCCTGTACTGGCTGCAAGTCTAAATAGACATAGGTGCTACAGTCTAGGACACATGCTCAAGGATGGAAATGCTAGGTTGGAAGTGACAAATGAATTTTGAGTCTATTAATCTTTTTTATAAATCATGCTTTCCCTTTTTCTTATAACCTGTAGGAGCTCTTCGTGAATTCAGGAGAGCAAATATCTCCTTTGGAATAATACTTGGTTACTGTTACAGTTTCCAAAATGAATGTACTAGAATACACCATCCTATTTGTGATCACACCAAATATAACTCTTGTTGATTACACTAAACCTAGGTGATGAACTAAGAGAGAATACTTCCTGTAACAGCTCTTTGCAATACTTTCAGTAAAGAGCAAGGAATACATAAAAATAACCTGAAGTAGCCAGGCACAGTGGTGCACACCTATGATTTCAGTGACTCAGAAGGATAAGGCAGGAAGATCACAAGTTCAAAGCCAGGCTCAGCCATTTAGGAAGACCTTGTCTCAAAATTAAAAGGCTGGGGATGTGGTACAGTGGTTAAACACATCCCTGGGTTCAATACCTGGTACCACAAAAATAAAAAAAAAGAAAGTCAACATAAAGCTAATATTAATTTCAATTTACATGAGGTTCAGTCACTATAAGGAGTAATATCCTAAGGATATGTTAGACAACTAAAGAATTCAGTAAGAATATACAAATAAGAAACCCTTACAAATTCAGCAACAACTTTTTATTAGACAAACCTTAGAATGTGATTCATATTTCACTTACAATAATTATGATAGAGTAGTGCTGCCCAATGTTCTATGATGAATGAATTGTTCTTTACTGGTAGTTCAAGCATTTGAAATATAAGCCTCATGCATCGGAGGAACTAAATTTTTTAAAAACAAAGCTCTCCTCCCCCAGAGTATTGGGAATCAAACCCAGGGCCTCACACATGCTAGACAAGTGCTCTATCCATGAGCTGTGTTCCCAGTTGCTAAGGTACCTGTATATGGCTATTGTTTCAAACAAAGCAGTTCTAGAAGATACTATTTTCAAACCTCTAGAGATCAAGACCATATACATCACAAGAAAAAAAACAAAACAAAAACCTCTCACCATTGTCCCCCAAAACAACTGTGTTTGAGGTATCAAAGATCAGTTCATAAACTGATTAAGCTAGATAAAATGAACAAAATAAAATCCCATAGTAAATAAATCCTGAAGAGATACTTGAAATATGTGCTTACATAAAATGAGGCAAAAAATTTATGAAGAATATTTCGAAAGAGTTTGCTATTTTGACTCCTGCTGCAAGTCAATCCATTAGACATTTCAAACCTCAAGAGTGGCTGCATACATTCCTGGGCAAACTGAACCGGACCAGGCTAATCCTTCTAAGTCAGTATGTTATCCAAATACTTTCTACTTGGACCATCAAGTGAAAAACACCAGATTAGGGAAAAGGATGGCTAAATCTCTGCTTCAATTAGCATGCAACAAACTAATTAAATAGGCATGAATAACCTACGAATGGAGGTTAAGAATAAAACATCTGTTTCCTGGGCCTTCCATTATGTAATAAGTACTTTCACTGGAAGAGTGTCCTCAGGCTTATCTAAACAATGACCAACCTAGAACAGCAAACTACCAAATTTACCTAGTGTTTACAAAACCTTTCTCATAATTAATTCCTCCGTGTTCCAAAATGGTTTTGAGAGGTGTGAAGGAGAGGGGTAGGGGAAACCCTAAATTGAAAAAAGAATGTGTTGAGTGAAGACAGTGTGAAACAGACTGGTAGTCACTTTATTAATTCTCTCAACTAAACTATGCAGTGTAGCAAATGCAAGAAACAGTTCAACATCTTTAAAAACTGGTCTACACCATTTTCCAATCTTGTTGGCCCTCCTAGAAAAGATAAATTTGCCCCAAGCAACAATACCATATTTCCCGCCCAAACTTACTAATCTATTAACATGCTTTTAATTCACACTATGCTTATACAGAATATTTTTCTGCTACTTTATACCAGCAGAAATGCACCCTTAAGTATTTTATGCATGTCAAAGAAATAAACATACTTTAAAAATATATTTTAAGACTTGGTATGGTAGCACATGCCTATAATACCAGCTACCTGGGAGGTTGAGGCAGAGGATCAATCACAAGTTCAAGGCCAGCCTGGGCAACAGAGAATTCCCTCAAAAGTAAAATAATAACAAAACAAAATAAAAAGGGCTCATTATATAGCTCAATGGTAAGAGGCCCCGAGTTCATTCCCCAGTATGGGGGGCAAGGGTTGTTTAAAAATAATAAACACACACCCACCCCTTAAAACTATATATTACAATGATAGTTTTACTCATCTTTCTCCAAGAAAATCAACCATTAATGAATGTTATGTTGAATTTGCTTGCATCACAGTATCTTTAACTACCATAATCAAATTTCTCCTTTTTACCACAAGTAGAATCAACTCTTTTTTTTTTTTCAGTTGTAGATGAACACAATACCTTTATTTTGTTTACTTAGTTTATGTGGTGCTGGAGATGGAACCCAGGGCTGGGGATCACACATGCTAGGCAAGTGCTTTAGCCCTGAGCCCCAACCTCTCTTTTCTATTAACAATTTGTGATACATGAAGAAGCAGCACTAACAAATTCATAAAGAACGTTAAAATAATCTTAAGGTGGGGTCCTACTAAGGCTATATAAATACTAACAATTGAAAGTCAGAACCTGAATGCTGATGTCCTTTTGATGTTTCTGTAAGAACATACAGTCAACTAATAACAATCAGGTAATTTTTAAAGCAAACTTAAAAAGTACACTTAATTAATTAAATCTCTTTCTATACTTAGATACAATATGATACTGAAAGACATATGATAGCTAGGCTTGGTTGCCCAGGTATAAACCCAATTACTTGGAAGGGTGAGGTAAAAGACTCAGAAGTTCAAGGCCGGCCTTGTCAATTTAGTAAAGACACTGTCTCAAAATAAAAAGGGCTGGGAATGTAATTCAGTGGCAGAGTGCTGCCAGGCTCAATCCCCAACAACAACAACAAAAAGGCAGGGGGTATACAATGATTAATTCAACCCGACTTCATCACTGAATCCATTGGTAAAAGCTATTACCAAATCCACTAGTTAAAGGGAGTTTAGTTTTCTGGACTAGGTAATTTTAAATATTTTCCATTAGGCTAATTTATTAATTATACTGGAGTTACAGCTAAAGGGAACTGAAAACAAAACAAACACACTAGAAACCCCTTACCGGGGTTTCCATAAAGCCCTAGGAAATTCCACTATTGCTACCTCCACCCCAGGACTGAACACAGAATAACTTTACCATTCAGGTATATGGCCAGTCCTTTATATTTTATTTTGAGACAGGGTCCTGCTAAATTGCTGAAGCTGGCCTCAAACTTGCAATCCTCCTTCTTCAGCCTCTTGAGTAGCTGGAATTGCAGGTGTGTACCACCATGCTAGGCAAACATAAGGAATTTAATCTGAGATACTAATATTAAAAATATTTGTCAAGGTATTCTCAAGTGCTGGAGTTGGCTGAAGTTGTGGCTCAGAGACTGCATGCAGAGGCCCTGAGATCTATCCTCAGCAACAAAGATATTTTCACAATGCTCACATAATGCATCATACATATTCTAAAAACAAATTTCAAAAGAAAATGATTTACAGCTAGTGATGGGCACATGTATAATCCCAGAAATTTGGGAGGCTGAGGTAGGATTATAAATTCCAGTCTTTGACAATTTAGTGAGATTCTGTCTCAAATAAAATGAAAAGGGGGTCTGGGGATATGGCTCAAGCGGTAGCGCGCTCGCCTGGCATGCATGCGGCCCAGGTTCGATCCTCAGCACCACATACAAACAAAGATATTGTGTCTGCCGAGAACTAAAAAAGAAATAAATATTTTAAAAAATAATAAATAAATATATAAATAAATAAATAAAATGAAAAGGGGCTGTGATGTAGCTCAGTGGTAGCATCCCTGGTTTCAATAGCCAGTATTGAGGGAGTGGGGAGAGGTTGTACTATGTAAGCAACTTCCATAGCTTCCAGATCCTTAATGAACTACCTCTAAATTCAGATGTTTATTTGATTTAAAAACCTTACCCTGAAGCAAATCCTGGAGCTCAGATCTCCTGCACAGGAATTCTACTAATATTCAACAGTTAACATGCTTTGCAATGTTATATGCAAAGTCCTCTTATTGGTTCCAAATAGTACTGTTGCTCAACAAAAGATTAATCTCAGGGTTTCGGTTTCTAGAACACACTATTATACATAAGAATATTACATTTCTGGGAGGTATGATTCTCTTACCATTTTTACTAATTCTAGTGAAACCATAGAACAAAGTATTTTATGAGTTCACAATTTGTCAAGGTTTAGAGCAATAATGTGGTATCTATAATATATAACGTAACTCTCTCCAAGAGAATGAGTTAGCATCCTGTAATCACAATATATCTACATGAAAACTCTGGAATATTAACATTAAATGGGATAGGATAAAAATAGCCTCACCTCAGCACAGATTCAGGTCACATTTTTCTCCCAAATTAGTTTGGGTCACACCAAGGAAGCTGAAGGAAAACTCTTAAAAAAAAAGTTTTCTGGGTTTCAAAATTATATGAATAAGGGATTGTGGGCCTATAGCTTTACAGCAAAGCATCTAGTACAAGAGTATATGTTAATACCTTGTCCCTGGGCATAATAAATCTAAAAATCAGTAATTTGGGCTGCCAGAACTTACAGAATAAATAATAAACATCTTTAGCATAGTCTGTCTGTTCCCACTTCCCTCACTCAAAAGAGTAAGGACTTTCTGAATTTTTGATATTACTTATTATTCTAAAACTACTTTTTCTTGTTTGGCAAAAATTATTCTCATATATTTCAGCTTACTGTTATCAGTGTCAAATGTGTAAGAGGAAACATTACAAATGTTAAAAAAAAATGAAGATTTAATTTCCAATTTAGCAAAAAACTTAACTAAAAACATCCTTCATTATAGCCTTCCTTAAAAGAAAAATTAATTTTCACCTTAGAGTTAATTTGTATCTTTGCCAATCAGACCCTCCCAGTTAACTTCAGGGAAAATATCAGATATCCTAGAAAAGACAGCCTAACAATATTAGGTAATGGACTTGGTACTAAGATGTTGGCACCATGCTTCTCTTTTAATATGCATACAAGCAATCTGTTTAAAATGCACATTCTGAGTGGGGCAATATGGTATACATGCCTGTAACCCCAGCAACTCTGGAGGATGAAACAGGAGGATCACCAAGTACAAGGTCAGCCTCAGCAATTAGCAAGATCCTGTCTCAAAAGATTCTGACTCAAGTTGGGTAGGATTCTATATTTCTGTTCTAGATGATACTAATACTACTCATCCAAGAAACACAATGCATAACCAAACAGCATTACAAATTTGTTGTTGTTGTTGTTTTGCTTAGGATTAAGAATTATTCTAGTCCAACTTTATTATATGGCTGTTTCAAAAACTAAGCAATTTGCTTAAATTTATACAGATTAGAAAAAAGCCAAAATAGGAAAACCTCCAATCAGGGTTATAAGCATTAGAACTTGTAACTTATAAAATCCTAGTACTTAAAACTGTTCTGTCTCTTTAGCCTTAACCTAAAAACCTGAAATCTAAAAATCATTTAAATGAGTTAACATCAACATCAAATGGTACTTTAAGGGTTTGCTTTAACACCCTCTCATAAGATAGAATAAACATGCAACTTAGGGGCAGGGGATGTGGATGTGGCTTAGTGGTCAAGCGCCCCTGGGTTCAAACCATGGTGGTGGTGGTGGTGGTGCAGATCAGTCTAAAGAAACACTAAATTCACCAAAACTATCTTTTGGTTTTGTGAAAATTTCTAATACTATTCCTTCCAAGTTTCTGGCCAAGAGAAATATCCTAATTTCAATACCCCAAATCAAATTTCAATAGCAAGAAATCTATATACAATTAAGTTTTTAAATGAACCAACCACACAAATCTAGCATATCAAATATTTTACTGAGGAATGATATTTTGCATGGGGGATCAATTCTAAAAAGTCAATCCATACAGAAAATCTAGTCAAAAACTATCCTTGAAAATCTGTTAGAAAGGTAGCAGGATGGGGGAGACACAGACATCTTTCAGAAAGTCCTCTAAAAACAACCAGTTGTTCCCAACAGCTGAGTATTATACAAAAAGACATTTTATGAAAAGGAATGTAAACTAGAAAAATCATATTTAGTCTAGCATGATGTTCATGACTAAGAAAACAAAAACTAAGATTCATGTTTCAAATCCCATGCTCTGAGGTATAGATTAATGAGTGAAATGTCAGCAGAATCCTTTCCTTTATTTAAAAATGTCTTTGGGACTGGTGGTGTAGCTCTGTGATAGAATGTTAAGCATGCATGAAGCCTGAGGTTCAATCTCTAGTACCAAAAAAATAAAAATGGTTTTTGACTTTTTTCTGATCAAGACCAGTACTTGAACCAAAGTTAAATGGTTGAATGATGTGGCAAACTACATCTTAAATCCAAAAACCACTGTACAGCCAGGGATGGTGGCATACGCCTGTAATCCCAGCAGCTTGGGAGGATGAGACAGGAGGATCAAAGCCAGCCTCAGCAAAAATGAGGCACTAAGCAACTCAGTGAGACCCTGTCAATACAAAATAGGGCTGGGGATGTGGCTCTATGGTTGAATGCCCCTGAGTTCAAACCCTGGTTCCAAAAAAACAAAAACAAAAACACTCTACAATTTATTCATGTAAAATATATTATATGCATTCAAGAGAAAGTAAATTATAAATTACCCAGTTAAGTGGTGAAAAATGCATAAATTAAACTGAATAGTTAAGTCTAATCTATAACTGTCAAGAGTTTTTAAAGATCACTGCTCTTAAAGAAATATAACTTCAAGTTTTGAAAAACACAGCACTCTCACTTGCCTTCATTTTACTAGGATCCCCTAGGTACTTACATGGACAAGTTAGGAGATGGAACCCCCCTATCATCAGCTAGGTTCCCAAGGTGGCTCGGCGTTAAAGTCAAACTGCTCTCTATACAGCACTTCTCCTAGGCCTTCTGGGTAGTTGTATACTTGGTCAGAAAGTTCGCCCTAAAGAAAATAAAAGTGGCAGATAATTCCATGTTAAAAAATAAAATTCAGCTGTGCTCCAATAGCAGGTTCACTTAAACTACAGAACTTTAGTTTTAATAGAATACGTTTTGTTAAAGTCACATTACCCAAAATGTTTCAAAGTGTTTACCATAGAACCAAGCACTTTTTATTAATAATCATTTCCAAGCTGCTCTACTACAGAAGTTCACAGAACCTGGCACCAGTCACCTTATCAAGTTGCTTTTTTTATCTACCTATTCATGAATTTCCAGTCTAATTTTGCCTCCCCCGCCCTTTTGGTGGTACTGGAGATTGCATCCAGATTGCACATGCCAGGCAAGCACTCTACTTCTGAGTTACACATCCATTCCTTTTTATTTTATCTTGAGGGAGATAGGACCCCAAACTTGTGATCCTCCCACCTCAGTCTCCTAGGTAAGTGGGACTACAGGCATGCACCACAGTGCCTGCTATAAATTTTGCTTTCATTTGTCCAAGTTCCCCCAACAATCCAGCATATATGCAAGATTTTAAATACATAATGTTCCAACTTGATCTTAACGTCTGGAACTACCCAGAACACCCTTCAACTTCAAGTCTAAATTTTTCTTTGCTTAATATGCAAATTCTTATTACTTAAAAAAAAAGTTGTACATCCTAATACCTTATGTATCTGAATTATTGAGAAGTCCTTATAATGTTAGGCAAGTAATCTCTTAAGCTTTATTTTCTCATACCCAACTTATCTAGATCTACACTTCATTCTATTACCACTAGAAGCAAATGAATTGTCAAAGTGTTTGCCACACTACACAAAATGCTGTTTTATAAATGGTCATCACCTATTACAGTTTGACTAGTTCCCAAGATAAAATGCTATACCTACATTTCTATTTGTAATTCAATAGTTACTGTTTTAAAGTAATAGAACCTGACAGTATGTGCTAGAAAAGGTTGGTATGGTAATAAGGAAACCAGAAATAATAAAACTAGAAATTTAAGGTCAAGAGTTCGAAAAATTTCAGAAGCACTCTTAAGCATGCCTAAAGCCTCCCTTTCCCTTCCACCAGGATTCAAGGATTCCTTGAAGGAAGTAATATGTTCTACTTAGCAGGGGAAACTGGTTAAAGACACTCACAGTTGATGACCAAAGAATACATATTAACTTGCAACAATGATTACAAACTTACATAAAATTCCAAATAATGTGCTACTCCGTAAACATTCCAACTCTTCCCACACCTAGATAATTTTTAAAAATAAACAAAAATACTACTCATGCCAGGGACAGTTCACTTTCAATTATCCTAGGCAACAGGATAATTATCCTTGGTGAGACATTATTCATCATTTCCCTGCTATATTACCCACAGCTATTTTGCTGTTTAAGTGATATGAAATATAAAAACATTAATCTTTAGAAATGCGAGAATATTCTTCAGTAAGATCTTTAATAAAACTTGAAGCTGGGCATTGTAGAGCATGCCTATAATCCCAGTGACTTAGGAGGTTGAGGCCTAAAGCAACTTAGGGAGAGTCTATCTCAAAATAAAAAAAAGTGGTTGGGGATGTGGCTCAATGGTTAAGCACTCTGGGTTCAATTCCAGGTTACCCACCCCACCCCCAAAGACACTAAATTTAACAAAAATATACTATCAGGGAAAGAAGGTGCCAAACTTTGAAAAGCACATTTTCAAAAGTATGAATGATTAAATAAAAAGATAAAGGAATTATGAAAAATTTTTCAGTCAGAATGGTTTGCATAAATTAGCTAGATGAGACAACTCTGCAACCAAGTTCCTCAACAATTATTTGAAGAGCATGGCATACCAGACTTGACTGAATCAGCCAGCAGACCAAGACACAAAAAACCTATCACTTTTGACATTTAGTATCTCAAAACTTAGTATCTCAAAATTATGATTTTTTTCTACACATTGTTTTTACCAATTATTTCTAAGGTTGTTTTGTAGTATTCTTTCAAGTAATAAGAAATATCAAGACAAATCCAAATTGGAGGGTAGTCTATCAGGTATCTAACCAATACTTCTCTGCACTGAAAATCATGAAAAGCAACAGAAAATATAAACTGTCACAGATCAGATAAGACTGGGGAGATATGACAACTCAATACAATGTGGTAGAGTTAGGACTGAATTCTGGAAAAAGTAAAGAACAACAAAAAGCAACTGTTGGCTGGGGTGTAGCTCAGTGGTAAAGCATTTGCCGAATACTAGTAAAGTTCCAGGTTCAATCCCTAGTACTCCAAAAACCAAAAGCCTGGTGAAATTTGAAGAAACTCAAGAGTTTAAGTAATAATACTTAACAAATTCAGTTTACTTTAGATTAAATGTACCACAATACTACAAGATGGTCAACTGGTTAAGTATACAGGAACTGTTACTGTCTTTGAGACTTCTTTTGTGTGCATAAGACTGAAATTTCTAAAATAAAATTATATATTTTTTTAAAAAATCAGGCAAGGTATTTATACAATGTACTATTCAGCAATAAAAAACCTACTGAAAAATGCAATGTGAACATCAAAAACATGCCAAATTAAAGCCTTTTACACAAAAGAATGCATATAGATTGATTCTACTTGTACGGAAATTCTAGAACAAACAAGACTAATCTTTTAATTTAAAAAAATCAGAATCATGGTTGAGTCTGTGGCAACTTGGAGACAGTTTGACTAGACAAAAGGGAACTAACTATCTGGGCCAACAGCACTGTTCTGCACATTGATAGAGGCTTGAGTTACTACATAGCAGTATTTTTTGTAAGGCTCAAATAGTACACTTTTGTGGATTTTACCGTCAATTTTACTCCCCCCAAATTTTTTAAATTGCTAACAGCATGGAACCCTATCTAACGACGAGGTTCCTATCTAAAGTTGGAAGGGAAGTGTTTTGGTGTCTCTAACATAACTGTGAAATTCACGCAACAATTATATAAGGCAAATAAAAGAAAATGTTAATGTTAATTATAGAATCAAAGTGGAGGTACCACTCTTTAACCTGTTTGGGATCCTATATAAATATACGTTGGGGGACAAAAACTATAATTTGATTTCATTTTTATTCCTATAGTCAGTCATCTTTCCTACTTAATGTAAAACTCCTCGGAGCTTATTTGTCCTCAGGATCAGTATTTGCATGATATCTTATGTGTAAGGATCATTAGGGCCTCGACAAACAACCATTAGCCACATTTCTATCAGGCTTTCCTGAGCGCACAATAAGGGAGAGAGATTCCTTAAGAGTCATTCTTAACCCAAGCTAGACACAGAAAAACTTAACATATTCAACCTAGATGCCACCACAAAATCCAGTAAAATCTGCTGAAACATGACTGGACTGTAAATTGTATCCCCGACCATTTCTCGTTTCCTAGCCAGTGGTTTAGTCTAAGGAATACAAGTTCAGGGCATATATTCTCTAAGATTTGAAACACGTCATCACCATTAACTGCTGGCAGTCAAGATAATACCTGATAAGCCACCCCAGCCTACCCTTTTCCCTCTTTCTGCCCAGAAATCGCGGCGCGAACTGGAAAGCGAAGCCATGGTGACTAATACTTAGACTCCGGGAGGTGACTGGGGTGAGTGAAAGCGACTTGGCCCAATCAGGAACGCCGCAGAGGCGGAGCGGCAGCCCCGAGGCTTCCAGAAGGGGCCAAAGGCCTCCCGCACGCTACTTGACACCGGGGCTTCCCCGCCGCCGGGCCCCGAGTGGGGTCAACTTTCCTCCACCAGAGGGGGACCGCGCTCCCCTCACCCCCCAGACCAGCTTCCTCCGCAGCTGTCACAAGAGGCCGGCGCTGGGCCCGACCGGCTCCATTCATAACCCAGCGCCCAAGCCGCTGCAGCCCATCGCGCCGCCCACCCGGCTCCGGAACCAAAGGCGGCCGAGCAGAGCCAGCAGCAGATAGGGACCACGGCCCGAGGGGCCGTAGCTGGGCCCCCTCCCCGGAAACAGCAATGCACCACGGGAGAGGGGTGGGGGCCGCACGCTGCCGGGAGTGGACCACGACCCCCGGCGGCCAGACCACCGCGCGCGCCCCCGCACGCACACGCCCCCTCGCCCCAACCGCTGTGGCTCGGGTTCTGCCGAGCGCCGGGCGGCAGCCTCTGAGGCCCTGAAGCGCGACCCGCCGCGCCAGCCCCGCCACCCGAGGCACCGACAGCCGCCACACACGCCGCTGTCCGCCATGTTCGAAGCGGCTGGCCGCGGGGCGCTGCGGGGACTCCAGGGCTACGCGGCCCAGCGGAGGCACCCACCGCCCCCGAGGCCGGCCCGCGCCAGCTCCTCCCGCTCTCCTACTCCCAGTACTCACGTGAGATAACGGCCCAAAGAGTCGGGTAAAGCGTCTTCTCTTTTTCGGCGGAATTTTTAAAGAGGGATGTGGTTACCTTGAGCAGAAATACCCAAGGCGGCCTGGGCCATAGGCTGCGGGGACGACGTGGGGAGAAAAGCGCGGCACCGACACCAGCTGAGCAGCAGTGGCAGCGGCGGCCAGAGAGAAATGGAGCAGCGCGGGTAAAAGGAGAAAGTCGCGGGCTGGGTGGGGAGAGGATTTGGCCTCGTCACACCGCAGAGCAGCAGAAGGAGAAAGGAAAAGAAGAGGCAGAGAAGGCGACAACAGGGTGAAAAGGAAACGCTTCAGCCGCGAGGAGAGCCAAAGAGTGTGGGAAGGCGGTGCCGGAGACGCCAGTATTTATAGCCAGTGGGCGGGGTCTGGTGACGTCACAGCCCGCCAGGCAGCCGCGCGAGCGGGGCGGGGCACGGCAGTAGACTGGGGAAACTCGAGGGGCGGAAGAGGAAGGAGGCCAGCGCTGGGCTGTGGTGAGGGGAGGGGCGACCCGGCAGTGCAGGTGCAAACCCGCGGGTCGCTTCCCGCCCTCCAGCCGCTCGCAGCTTTAGGCCTGCGGAAGGCCCACCACAGTGACGTGGGCCTGAGAGTGGCCTGGCGTCTGGGCTTGATCACGGCGTGTCCCCTCCGCCCCCGCCCCGCAGCGCCTGCGCTCACGCTCGCGGCAGACTCCCGTGCTTTGTGAGCTGAACAGGTCTACACACTAGCGGCAGTCCTGAGTACTGTCTTGGGCTCGGGTCAGCGCGACCCCTGCTTTGCACGGGAGGCTGTGGGCAGGGTCTTTGGCGGTGGAGCTCGCTCTATTTTGTGGGGACTGTGGTCTACACCTGGGGACCGCCCTTACAAGGACAGGTCAAGCCTTCTCGGGATGCAGCAATTCCTTTATGGAAGTGATTTCCTCATGGCTAGAAAGGGTCGGTCTAGTTTTCGGCTTGTGACCCCAGGAGAATGTCCTCAGTACTCCCGCGTTGCAATACGGTGCAGAAGAAAAAAAAATTTTTTTTTCTTTAAGGAGTGTGATTTTGAAATCTATATTTTAAAATGGGTTGGTGCAGCCGGGCGCAGAGGTGCCCCCTTGTAATCTCAGCGGCTCCAGAGGCTGAGGCTGGAGGATCGCGGGTTCAAAGCCAGCCTAAGCAACTCAACAACAGTCTGTCTCTAATAAAATACAAAAGAGGGCGAGGGACGTGGCTCAGTGGCTAAGTGCCCCTGGTTTCATCCCTGTACTAAAAAATAAAAATAATAAAGTGGGCTGGTGCTGTCAGACCGAGCCTTAATAATGCAGAAGCAGTGTTGAAGTGTACTGTTGCTACACGCACATGACTAATCCCCCACATCTTATATGAGCATTTTGATTTTCCTACTCCTTAACAAAGTTTATACTATCGGGTCCAGGATGACTTACATAGCTTTCAATTTGTGCGCCCCCCCCCCCTTTAAGGTATCTTAGTGATAATGTTGTGCAACTTAGACTTAACAGCGCAAAGCAAATAGGATTGATAGCCTCCAAAGTTAAAGTCTTTTGAATCTTTGAGCTGGTTGCAGTGGCATAGACCTGTAATCCCGCTACTTAGGACAGGGAGGATCACAAGTTTGAAGCCAACCCTAACAATTTAGCGAGATCCTGTCTCAAAATAAAAAGGTTGAGATGTAGCCAAAGATAAGAGTGCCCCTGTGTTCCGTCCCCAGTAATGCAAAGTTAGGACCTTTGAGTTGAAAACCCTCACTTTTTCGCCTTTCATTCTGCCCCGCATTCTTTTTACATTGTGACCAGCACAGTTATTAAGAAATCGTCAAAGGGGGCTGGGGATGTGGCTCAAGCGGTAGCACGCTCGCCTGGCATGCGTGTGGCCCGGTTCGATCCTCAGCACCACATACCAACAAAGATGTTGTGTCTGCCAATAACTAACTAAATAAATAAATATGTTTTAAAAAAAAAAGTTAATATATGAATGAATGTTTAAAAAAAAAAAAAAAGAAAGAAATCCTCAAAGGAGAAAGGAAGAGAAAAAGGCAAGATATCTTGTGATGATGAAATGTAGTCTCTGGAATAGAAACATTAGGTAGAAATTAAGAGTTGTGAACTCTAACTGATTTTGTTTTTCTGTATTTTGCTCTGATGTATCTTGGCTTTCTGTAATACTTCTTGAAAGTTCTGTGCAATTCAGAACACAGCAACTTTACCAGACACCCCCATCCCCACCCCCAATCCATGAAGGAAGGAAAGCTAAAATTGAATACACCACTTGACATCTTACAGTCTATCAGGAGAAATAAAACAACGACACAACTACTGCTGACAGATAAACAGATTTTTAAAATGCTACAAGGAACCTAGTAAAAGGAGGAAATAATTGCAGCTAAGAGAAAACCTGCCAGGAAAAGGTACAGAGTCATTTTGTGCACCTACACTCCAAGGAAGGGAAACAGGTGATTTTGAAAGCTGATGTTCTGGCAAGGGAAACATGAGCAACGGCACAAAAAGGTTTACAGAACTGAGTGGGCTTTCCACCTCCATCTTAAGAGCATGGTTACAAAAGAGATTGAAAAGGTAGGTTAGGGTTAGATCAAGAAGGAATTGGGACTTTATTCTGGAACCATTTAAACAGGGATATGATATCCTCAAAGATATGTTTTTAAGAGATTACTCTGGCATCGGTGGATGGGATTGAAAAGAAGTAGGTGATTTGGCAGTAACAGTGAGGCAGACTCAGTAGTTTTTTTAAAAGTACTAAGGGATTCAGAATGGAACAGTGAGGCAGACTCAGTAGTTTTTTTAAAAGTACTAAGGGATTCAGAATGGAACAGTGAGGCAGACTCAGTATTTTTTTTAAAAGTACTAAGGGATTCAGAATGGAAAAGGCAAGCAGTGGGAATTAAATGAGACTGCTTGGAGCTTAAGGAGTTTGAGCTGTTGACAAAATCCAGGTAAGGTCCCCTGGAAATGGGGAGATGTGGAGTTCTCTGGGTTGAGTTTGGGAATTAAGGAATTGTTGAGGTGAACAGGAAAAGGAATAAAAGCACAGGCCCTAAAGAAATGCCAGAGATAAGAGACACTGGCAGATAAGACCAAGAGCAATGACCAAAAGTAGAAAGAGAATTATAATAGTGCAATGTCAAGCCATTCAGGGAGCAGGTGTTTGAGGATGGAATGTGTGTTCAGAATTGTCATCTTTCTCAAGACAAAAGTGGGTTCTGATTTTTGCAAATGGCAAATCATTGGTGAACCCTAATCTCATGTTAAGAAATTTGGATTTTTATCTCACAGGCATTGGGAAAGGTTGCAATCATTCTAGTGATTTGCATTTTAGAAAAGGAGAATATGGAGGTGGGAAGAGAAAGGACTAAGTGTCAGCAGGGAAAACATTTGAGAAGCAATTGTAGTCATTCATGAAGAATGATAAGAAGTTATCATTCTGAGAAGAAATAATTTGTGACCTTTAACTGAACAATTTCAGAAGAGTGGGAGGAACAGAAGGTTGTAGAGGTTCAAGGGAGGAGTGTTTGAAGTTAAGTCATGAATAATGACCTCTCTTCAAGTGAAGGGTACTGAAGTAAGGCCTAACCCAACATTGTTTACACCATGAAGCAATTCCTCAATTATTGTTACAACTATGTGCTCCGGTAATGAGTAAATTCAAACTTAAAGGATGATACTTGCTTTTAATGAATACCATAGAACTTTGAAAGCTGTGCTACATCTGAGTAGACAGAATGATAGCTTCCTAATGAGAACAGCATATTTAATTATGTTTGGGGTTTGGGGTTTGGGTTATTTTGCCAAGTCAGCTTCCTCATACACAAATATACAGGTAGTACCAACAAAAATATTATCATTAAATAGAGAACCCTAAGATCAAATGATAGAATAACGTTCACACTTGGATCACCCTGGTCCACTGACTCAAACCAATTTGCTTAACTAATTTAATTATTGATAGAGGCAAGTCACTGAAAATAATATCACCAGCTTATGAAAGAAATCTCATGTAGTCACATATGTGAATGTGACAAATGAAGAGTAATGAAATCTCAGTTCAAATAAATGCTGAGGTTTTGGGATATGTTATCTGAAAAGCATGTGTTAGAAACTTAATTCCCAATGCAAGCATGTTAGGAGGAGGGGCCCGCTGAGAGGTAATTAGATCCCAGAGGGGAGTAAAGGGATCAATGCCATGACCGGAGGTAGTCCATATAAAAGGACAGAGTTTAGTCCCCTCTGTCTCTCTTTCCCTTCTGCCTTTCTTTCTCATCAGCTCTTTGCCCTTCCACCATGGGATAGCACAGCAAGAATGTCCTCACCAATCTTGGATTTTCCAGTCTCCAGAACAGCCAATAAATTCCTGTTATACATTTTCCAATTTGTGGCATTGTGTGATAGCAACACCAAATGGACTCAGACAATGGAAATCTTTAAAGAAAGCTCAATTCAAAAAGAATATTTTTGGTCAGGTAAATTCCTAGAGTATTTCTTATTATGTAGAAATCCAAAATATATAGGTTCACAATATTCAAAGCATTCACATTTAAAACATTATGAGGACTGGGACTGTAGCCCATGGTAGAGCACTGACCTATGGAAGGTGCTGCATTTGATCCCAGCACTGATAAGCAAATTACAGTAGTTCAAATCTCTACCACATCTTTTTGAGCACTGATAACCTTTCTAAAAAGCTGGCTCACTTATCAAAAATCAGATGCTATGGTATTTATGGCCTAGTAAAAGTGGGTAAAATATTTCCAAATTATTTTGCCATATGCAAAGTTCAGATTATGTACTATTCTCTCTGCAATAACTATAACTCCATTAATTGCTGAGTAGCTGTTTAAAAATAAAAGCCTTTACAGTCATAATTTATCTGGGTTGATTTTCACTTCAGATAAGAAATCATCTAATTTTATTGTCATGTGTAAATTTTTTTTTTTTTCACAAAATGTAGGGCCAGTTCAATAGGGTTATATGGCATTACAGTTTAGAAGTGCTCTTCGTCCTAACATTGGCCTATATCCTCACCCATATTTTTGTTCACAGAATAATTTAATCTATAGAGTTGTATGCATGGCAAGCATAGGGAGATAGAGACCAGATACAAATCCAAGTATGAAAGGGAAAAATTGTCCTATTTTCATTTCAGTGGCTATGTATGTCATGAACTGTTGGTCAACTTTTTAACTTTTCTGAGTGACTTGGACAATTTCTTGATAAGCAAGTTATAAGCAATACACTGAAGTCTTTCATTACTTTGAGGAACAACAAATTACTCATTGTTAATGTAAGAAGACTGATTTAGAAACCTACGTAAGAGGCCAAAGCAATAATCCAGTTTTGC